CCCCAGGATGCCCAGGCCCATCTCTAGGGGAGAGACATTCAAACTAAACAGTAAACAAACAAGCAGAACATTTACAGCATATTAGCAAATCATCCGGACCCCAGCCACATCTCACCACCTCCTTCCTTCTCTACTGCTTTGGTCCGAGCTGCTATCCTCTCCCACCTGCATTATTACAAAAGCCATCATCTTACCTGGTTTCCTGGCTTGGTACTAGCTTCCCTACAAACTATTTTTAAAGCAGCAGCCAGAGTAATCCTTTTAATGCACAAGTCAGATTATGTCACTCTTCTGCTCAAACCCCTTAAATGTATCCCAACTCAGAGAAAAAGACAAAGTCCTTACAATGGTCTTCAAGGTCCAAAGTGATCTAGTCCAACTATACCCCATTGCATTCTAAGCACCAGCCACAGTCCTCCTGGAAGGTGCCAATTATGTTCTCACCTCAAGGCCTTTGCACCACTGGTTATTCCTTCTGCCTGGAATGTTCTTCACCAGATATCTGCACAGCTCCCTCCCTCACCTCCTTCTCAGCAAGGCCTTCCCTGGCCACACCATTTTAAATTCCAGCCATCTCCACGAGCCCTCCCCAACTTCCTCTCCTGCTTGATTTTTTTTTTCATTATGCTTATCAATATCTGACATGAGACATTTTATTTTTCTACTTACTGTCTCCACTAACTAAAATATAAGCTCTATGAGGACATAGATTTTTATTTACTCACTAATGTATCACCAGAAAAGTAGCTCTGAGGGAAAGAAAAAAATTTGGATGAATGATAAATACTGTTAGGAAAATATGGCAGGGAAGTTGGGGAGGAGTGCTGGCGGACTGGGAAGAAAGGCTACAATTTGACATAGAGTGTGCAGAAAAGGCCTTAAGAATAAGATATTTAAGCAAAGACTTGATGGCCTTGAGGGAACAAATCACCCAGCCAGAATCAGCTCCATCATTCACCTAGGGCCAGTAAAAAAAATGAAAATGTGAGGCCCTTGTTCACGAACTATTAAAAATTTCAAGAGAGAGCAGTAGAGCATTAAACCAAGTGTGAGGCCCTTCTAAGCATGGGGTCTTGTGTGACTGTGCAGGTCACATGCCCATGAAGCTGGTCCTGCATCCAGCTATTAGAGTAAGACACATGCAATGGCAAGTGCAAGAACCCTAAGGCGGAACAGTACTTTGGGAACAAGTAAAGCAGCCATGCTTGTTAAAAATACAGTCTCTGGCCAGGTGTGGTGGCTCACGCTTATAAGTCCAACACTTTGGGAGGCCAAGGTGGGTGGATCATGAGGTCAGGAGTTGAAGACCAGCCTGGCCAACACAGTGAAACCCTATCTCTACTAAAAATACAAAAATTAGCCGGGTGTGGTGGCGTGTGCCTAAAGTCCCAGCTACTCGCAAGACTGAGGCAGGAGAATAGCTTGAACCCGGGAGGCAGAGGTTGCAGTGAGCCAAGATCGCGCCACTGCACTCCAGTCAGGGTGACAAAGTAAGACTCTGTCTCAAAAACAAAAACAAACAAACAAACAAATAAAACAGAGACTCCTAGACTCCTTTTCTGGGTATTCCAATCCCATAGATCCAATGTCAGCTAGGATCCTTTATTTTTAGTTTGCCCCAGGGTATTCCTGTCCTGTCCAGGCAAATTTGAGGAACATGGATCTATTCTCACATCCTGAGATGTGCCCCGCTGCCAGTCCTTCAGCACCACCTCAGAAAATGGCTCCCAGTTTGTTCCCCTTGTAATCCAGGGCTGGCAACCAGGTCTCCATCTTCACCCCCTTGTCGGAGTCTCTGTTCTGGGAACTTCCTTGTACCTAGAGTACGACTGGCTCTTAATCAGTCTTCCACCAAAGGCCTGAAGTCCTGCCTGGACACCCAGCTGGGTGGCTGAGGCTGCCATGGAGAGATAGGCTTCCCTGAGAGTTTCTGCTCATCTATGCAAGATTGCCAGATATGGTATGTTCAGGTCAATTGTTTGCTGGACTGACTTAATTTCTAGGTGCACTGCCTTGGGTCTCTAAGCCCCCAATATCTCATTTTCGACCTTTTAAAACAATCATTTAAATATGTTGTAGATGAGCTTGCCAGTCAACACTAGAAACCTAATTTGCTCAACTTCTTTCTGTTGAGTCAGGAGAAGAAAAATATTTTTCTGCCTTTACAGCTTCCACCTTAAAATCTCACAGTGAGTAAACCTAATTAATATTTGCAGATATTAGGCCAGCGCAGTGGCTCACACCTGTAGGCCCAACACTTTGGGAGGCGGAGGTGGGTGGATTGCTTGAGTCCAGGAGTTCGAGACCAGACTGGGCAACATAATGAGACCCCATCTCTACAAAAAATACAAAAATTAGCTGGGCATGTGGCTTGAGCCTGTAGTCCCAGCTACTCAGGAGGCTGAGGTGGGAAGATCACTTGTGCAGCGGCAGTCGAGGCTGCAGTGAGCCATGTTAGCACCACTGCACTCCAGCCTGGGCAACAGAGTGAGACCCTGTCTCAAAAAAAAAAAAAAAATCTGAAGATATTAAAACAAAAATATCACTTCACTGTTACGGTAAGTATTAGCACTTTCACTGATTCTATATTACCAGTGGAGGAGTCTCTAGAAATTTTATCAACTATAAGCCAGTGCCCAAAGTAATGAGAAATACATGTAACAAACCAGTGGTCCTCAACCAGGGGTAAGTTCGCCTACAAGAGAACATCTGGCAATGCCTGAATAGGGGTCAGGGAGTGCTACTGGCATCTAGTGGGTAGAGACCAGAGTTGCTGCTAAATATTCTACACTGCACAGGACAACCCCGTACAACAAACAGTTTTCTGGTCTATAACAGCAACAGTGCTGAGGTTGGGAAACCCTGTAATGAACTATGTGTCACTATCAATTATAGTTCTTGATTCATTACACTTGTGTTTAACATCTTAAAATCAAAAGTCTTGGCCGGGCGCGGTGCCTCACGCCGGTAATCCCAACACTTTGGGAGGCCGAGACGGGCGGATCACGAGGTCAGGAGATCGAGACCATCCTGGCTAACCCAGTGGAACCTCATCTCTACTAAAAAATACAAAAATTAGCCGGGCGAGATGGCGGGCGCCTGTAGTCCCAGCTACTCGGGAGGCTGAGGCAGGAGAATGGCGTGAACCTGGGAGGCGGAGCTTGCAGTGAGCTGAGATCCGGCCACTGCACTCCAGCCTGGGCGACAGAGCGAGACTCCGTCTCAAAAAACAAACAAACAAACAAACAAACAAAAATTCTTTATAAAGGCAATGAAAAATCTGATTTACACTTTAATTTTAAAAAGGAGTAATGAGGTTATGAGTAACAGGATCTATATTAGACATAACAGGGATTAGAAAGCATTTGATCAAAGGTGGAGAACTGCAGTGAACAGATGTATAGCAGTTATCTACAATCACCTCAAGTGAAACCACAGAGAGCTGTGGGTCACAGAGAGATTGCATGGGAAGACAGCATGGGAAATAACACTCTTCTGCATATCATAGATTCCTAGGTGCAGTCACTAGCCTAGTAAGGCAAGATGCCGGAAAACCAGACAGAAAAGACTGTCCTTCTTCAGCAGCCAGGATGCTGAGAGAGCTCCTGATAAGACTAGGATAAAAATAAAAATGGATATCAAAAGTAATATCTAGAGAAGAGCAAATGCTTTATCACTGTTAATTCAAGCTGGTCTCAATGAATGATCATACTTGGAAAATATCCCTACCTCTCATCCATCTTCTCATCTGTAAAAAGATTAATTACACCTACCTCCTAGGCTTATTGTGAAAGTTAAATAAGACAAAGATGAAACAAGATAAATGCAATGCCTGCCACACAGGAGGCAGTCAGCAGAGGGTAGCTACCGGTATTTCCCAACTTCACTTTCCTCCAGCTCTGACCCAAACCAGGCCCCATTAATGCACATGGAGAATTGTAGTTCTATGTTCACATTTATAGAACTCCCAAGACGGCAGAATGGGCATGATAAAGTCAATACATGACTGCACAGCAAGGTCCCTCTCAAAATATTTCAAAGAGAGAAGGACCTGATAGGTAAACACATACCAGCTTAAATATGCAAAATACATTCTCCTTCATACTGATTCTCCTTCATTCGGTAAATGGCCAGAAAGAGTTTCACTTTAAGAGAAAGATATAAATAAGATCCTCTTTCTTCCCACTGCTGTCTAAGGTACTTCGAGAAAGAACACTGAAAACTGATACAAAGCCCAAATGTAAAAAGGCCATCACATAGCTCACAGTTAATTATAAGTAATTTTAATGAAACAATTTGTTCCCTCAGGTTTCCATGTTCTTCCCAGAGGTGTAATGCAATACACCCAAGACACACACACTTATAAATTTGTAATAAACGCAGCCCTCCAGCTCACCTACACCACAGTTCTTGGCTGCTGCTTAGCGACAGGTGTCACATTCGCGGTTGCCAGTGAGCCCAGAGGGTGTAATTTCACTTCTACATAAAGAAGCATAATCGATAGCACCAGAACCACCCAGTAGGAACAACTGCACCATTCCTGACTCATCACGGAGCTTGTTTTCACAGACAACAAAATTCACCTCAGTTGGGCTTTGCGTAAATATAGAGTGGAGTGATGGGGACTGCAAATCGGGTGAAAGTGGTTCCCGGGGATGCCAAAGCCCTAGTACTCTTTGGCCTCCCTCACGCGACAGATCTAGTCTGAGCCTGGGCGGGGCCCCGGGAACTGGATGCAGCTACCTAGGGAGGGAGCCCTGGCGACCCGCCCCACCCGCTGCAGGACCAGCTTGGGCGACCACTGCGGTGGCCAGCAGCGCGCGCTGAGCGAGCCCTGGGAGCCGAGTCGCCCGAAGACGCACGGCCGTCCCTGCGACTCCCTATCCCCCAAACCCCCACCCGCAGTCCCACCCCCACCCCTACCCCCACCCGCATCCCGAGCCGCACCGCCTCCCGCGCGGGAGCTGCCAGCCCGGGCCGCGGCGGCGCGCCCTGCTCACCGTGACACCGTACTTGAGCGCAATGCCCTGCAGCGTATCGCCCGCGCGGACCCGGTGCTCCACATGGCGCTCGATGACGCCGGCGCCCAGCGGAGCCCGCACGCTGGCGGTGCTGCCGTACGAGCGGGTCTTGGTGCGGGCCAGGCTCAGCGACAGCTCGGCCTCCTCGGACTCGGAGCCGGAGCGCGAGAGCGGCGGCGGCGAGGGGGCCGAGGGCCGCGGCGCGCGGGGGCCGCCTTCCCGCAGGGATAGTGCGGGCGAGGAGTCCGCCATGGGTCCTGCCGAGGCCGCCGGGTCGGGGAGCTTGCCAAGGGGGTGGTGCCTCCTCCTCCTCCGCCGCCGCCGCCGCCGCCGCCTCTTCCTCCTCACAGGGGCTGCAGCAGGCCGTTCCGCGGGGGCGGCGGGCGGGAAGCCGAGGCGGGGAGTCGCAGGCCGGGCATGGCGGCCGCCTCCTCCTCCGCGTCCTGCCTGCCGGGGCGTCCGCGGCACACGCACCCGCAAGGGGAAGAGCGAAAGCAGCTCCCGCTGCGGCCTGCCGGTACCCGGGAGACCCTGCGGAGCGAGGGAGCGGGGGCGCGCTGAAGCCCGCGGCCGTGGGGGCTAAGGGAGGCCCATCTGCAGGCGTCCTAGGCCCCAGGTGGACCCCTGCTCCATGCTCATAGAGCCCCGACAGAACCCTGCCCTGGCCACGGCCAAAAAAAAAAAAAAAAAAAAAAAGCGTTGCTCTGCCTCCTTTATTTATTCCCCAGCAGGAACCGGCTCAGACCTTCAAGCTCTGCCAATGCCAAGGGTACTTCCCTCCCCCTACCCCGGTGACCTCAAAGTCCACGTCACAGAAAAACTTAAGATCATCAAACACACACAGACAGCTTCTCCAGGTCCATCTTAATAGCCGCAGAGCTCAGTCCTTTCAACATTGCACTAGGAGGGATAGTACTTCTAAGGCCTAATGGGTGGCCTCAAAATAACCCCCTAGTTGTTCGGGTTTCACACTTTGTATACTAATGCCAATTTAAGTCCTGGCTGCCTCAAAAGCCTGGCCACATACAATTCATTCTTCTGGCTCAGTAGTTGGAATTTACTATCTGCATTCATCTTCTTTTCGTCAGTTTATTCTTTGACACCCTGAAATCGCAACTCCCTGCCCCGTATTGCTATTAATATTATAACCACCAAAGACCTCTTATCTGTACTCTTCATCTGAACACCGTCTACTTTTGAACACCCTTTCAACACACTGTACACATTTACTAGCATCTAGTGCCTGGTTTCTGTTGTATTTTGGACAGCTCTCCAAGAAGAGGTACCTCGTAGGAAAGTCCGGAGCCAGGAGGTTTGATTCGTTGGCTGAAGTTTTGCTGGACAGAGGCAAAGCTAATACTGCTCAGGAGACAAAGGATGGGACAGGAGCAAGCTTCCACATCACCATCCCACTCAAAACTCCTACAATGGCTCTCTGGGGACAACAGCATTACTAAAAACCTACACTGGCGTTCAAGCTATTATTTCTATTTTTATTATTCATGTTCTGACCATACCCCATCTATAACTCATTCTGTATACTCCACATATTCCTGCCAAACAGAGCCTCTGAAACTGGCCTCCTTGTTCCTACTTTCATACCTTGCATGTTATTCCTTCCAATAGTAACACGCTTCCAGTACCCTCTACTACATTTTTTATATCTTTAAGTTCTGTTTCAAATGATACATCCTCCATGAGATTTTTTCCTAATTCTTCCCAATGGTCCCTTTTTCCCACCTACCCAACTGTTATTGTTTCATCTTTGAACTCCAAGAGGTTTGTATTAATACTTCTGGTTTAGTATTTAACTCTCTGTGTTCTGTGTTTGTACTTGCATGTACATGCATGAGCTTGTCTTATCTCCTCCAACAGATACATGCTCCTGGGAGGCATAACTGGGTCTTACTCATCTTTTTAGCTCCAGCAGTGCCTAGCTCAGTGGAAAAAAACAAACAAACAAACATAATTACAAGTGGTTGAATTGAAGTGTAGTTGAATTGAAGTGTAGTAAAAAGATCCTGAATGCTAGTTTGGATTGTTTTAGCATAAGTCTGCCACGCATGAACTTTTCGGTGGTATCTCGTGTGTCCATTTCAGGACCCAAGAGAGAGGCAGAATCTGTCTCAATATATAGACAAGATCTGGTAATGTTTCAAGAAAGAAGTGTCTTCCTTCAAAGAGTTTACAATCTAGGAATGAGATAGCATATAATGTTTTCCACTAAGAAAAAGTTTACTGCATGACTGAAAGTTTTTATCTGAAGATTAAAGAACTGAGCCAGGCGCAGTGGCCCATTCCAGCACTTCGGGAGTCTAAGGAAAGAGGATCACTTGAGCCCAGGAGTTCAAGACCAGCTTAGGCAACATAGTGAGATCCATTTCTACAAAAAATACAAAACTTAATTGGGCATGTGGCATACTCCTGTAGTTCCAGCTACCTGAGAAACTGAGATAGGAGGATCGTTTAAGCCCAGAAGGCGATCTCTGCACTAAGCAGAGATCACGCCACTGCACTCCAGCCTCGGCAACACAGCGAGACCCTGGGGTTTTTTTGTTTTGGTTTGGCTTTGGGGTTTTCCTTGTTTGTTTGTTTGTTTTGAGATAGAGTCTTGCTCTGTTGCCGAGGTTGGAGTGCAGTGGTGTGATCTCAGTTGACTGCAACCTCTGCCTCCCAGGTTCAAACAATTGTCCTGCCTCAGCCTCCTGAATAGCTGGGACTACAGGTGTGCGCCACTATGCCTGGCTAATTTTTTGTCTTTTTAGTAGGGATGGGGTTTCATCATGTTGGCCAGGCTTCTCTCAAACTTCTAACCTCAAGTGATCGATCAGCCTCGGCCTTCCAAAGTGCTGGGATTACAGGCCTAAGCCACCATGCCTGGCCCTGTTTTGTTTATTTGTTTTGTTTTGTTTTGTTTTAAAGAACTGGGTTACATGAGGTGTTATTAGATGTTCATTGTTTTCCTTCTTAAACCAGAACTTCAAAATTGTTTTAATATGTATCCACCTACAACATAGAAGTTCATCACAATTAATGATGAAACATTAAAAGCATTTCCTTTGAAGGGAAGGGTAAGAAAAGGAAGCCTATTACTGCCTCTAATATTGTTTTGAAGGTCTTTGCCAATGCAATTTTAAAAAGAAGAAAAGAAAATGAAGATTGAAAATAATAAACAAACTGTTGTTTACAGATAGTAGCCAATACTAAAATGTTTACAGGCAACACAGATAATGACTACATTAGAACAGCTCAAACAAGAGTTCACCAAAGTTACAAGATACAAGATCAATATACAAACATCAATTGCATGACTCAATAAGAAAATATAAGTGTGAAAAAGATGACATTCCAGATACCATCAAAAATACCTAGGAATAAATTTAACAAAAGAAAATTGTTCCTGGTGGACTAGGAGCAAAAAAAATTTTAAGGTAATAAATAAATAAAAAGATAAAAAGTAAAAGAAAGAAAAGTATGCCTTGTATGGAAAATATAAAACTTTTTTGAAGTACATAAAAGAAATATAAATAAAAGCAGAGATATACCATGTTTGTGAATGGGAAATGCAAAATAATGAAAATATCATTTTCTTTAAAAACTAACGTTAAATTCGTTAAAATTCCAAACAAAATTTCTATAGGATTCTTCAGAGGGCATGACAGAGTTATCCTGAAATTCATATGAAAGATAAAGCACTAACAAGAGCCAAGGCATTCCTGAAGAAGAATTAGGAAACAGGGTTACCGTCATAGCCATCAAGACTTAAAAACTAAGAACTAAAGCAATGTGGGACTGGTGCTGAGACAGAAAAACATAATAAAGGGACAATGAAGTAAGCCAGTAAACAGATTCAAATACATTGGAGAACTTAATCTATAACAGACATAAAGTTACGTATTCAATAAATGTTGCTGGAACAATTAGTTTTCCGTGAGAGAAGATGAAATTAGATCCCTGCCTTATACTATACATCAAAATCAATTATAGATTGATTAAAGACAGAATTGGGAAAAGCAAACTTTAATGCTTTTGCAACAATATTTTTATAACCGTGGGATAGTAAAAGATTTTTTAAACAAGATACCAAAATCATATAATTCACACATCACATAATTCATCCATTTAAAGTGTATAATTCAATGCTTTTCTGCATATTTATATTACATTACTAATTTCTTGAATTGTCACAAATATACCTAACACAAAATTCACCATTTTAACTATTTTTAAGCATATAATTCAGTAACACTAAATATACTCATGACCCGGGTGGTGACTCTTGCCTGTTATTCCAGCACTTTGGAAGGCCAAGGCAGGTGGATTGCTTAAGGCCAGGAGTTCAAGACCAGCCTGGCCAACACTGCGAAAGCCCATTTCTACTAAAACTACAAACATTAGCCGGGTGTGGTGGCAGGTGCCTGTAATCCCAGCCACTTGGGAGGCTGAGGCACAAGAATTGCTTGAACTTGGGAGGTGGAGGTTGCAGTGACCCGAGATCACAACACTGCACTCCAGGCTGGGTGACAGAGGGAGACTCTGTCTCAAAAACATAATAATTAAATATATATATATACACACACACACACACACATACACACACACACATATTATATATATATTCACAATATTATGCAACTATCACCATTTCCAAAAGTTTGTCATCACTCCAAAAAGATTTTTTTTTTTTTTTGAGACAGTGTCTCGCTCTGTCACCCTGACTGGAGTGCAGTGGTGCAATCTCCACTCACTGCAACCTCCACTTCCCAGGTTCAAGCGATTTTCATGCCTCAGCCTCTCAAGTAGCTGGGATTACAGGTGTGCACCACCACACCTAGCTGAAATTTGTATTTTTAGTAGAGATGGGGTTTCACCATGTTGGCCAGACTGGACTTGAACTCCTGACCTCAGGTCATCTACCCACCTCAGCCTCCCAAAGTGCTGGGATTCAAAAAGAAATTTTTAACTATTGAGCAATAACCACATTCCTGCCTTCCTCAGTCCCTGGTCACCTCTAATCTACTTTCGGTCTTATTAATTTGACTCTTGTAGATAGTTCATAAGTGGAAGCATACAATATTTTTCCTTTTGTGTCTGCCTTATTTTACTTAACATAATGTTTTCAAGGTTCATCCATGTTGTAATATGTATCATGTTGAGTTTTGGGGAGCTCTTTGTATATTTTGAATATAAGTCCTTTAGCAGAGACGTAGTTTTTAAATAATTGTTTCCCAGTCTGTGGCTTGCCTTTTAAATCTTTTAACAAGGTCTTTCTCAGAGCAGGAGTTTTTAACTTCAATAAAGGCCAACTTACTCGCTGGGTGCAGTGGCTCATGCCTGTAATCCCAGCACTTTAAGAGGTTGAGGCAGGAGAATCCCTTGAGGTCAGGAGTTTGAGACCAGCCTGGCCAAAATAGTCATACTTTTTGGTCTCTACAAAAAAAATAGAAAGACTTAGCCAGTTGTGGTGGCACATGCCTGTAGTCTCAACTACTCACAAGGCAGAGATGGGAAGATTGCTTGAGACCAGGTGTTCGAGGCTGCAATGAGCCATGATCGCCCCACTGCACTCCAGCCTGGGGGACACAGTGAGACTCTGACTCAAAAATACATACATACATACACACATACATAAATGTTTCTAACTTGAGAACTTCTATTTTGTCTTTCATGGATCATACTTTTGGTGTTGCTTATAAAAGTACAACCTAGATATTCTATGTTATTTTCTAGAAGTTTTATAGTTTTGCGTTTTACATTTACTTCTGTGATCAATGCATTTTCCCCTCCTTTTTTTGAGATGGGGTCTCACTTTATTGCCCAGTCTGGTCTCAAATTCCTGGGGTCAAACCATCTTCCCACCTCAGTCTTTTGAGTAGCTGGGAGTACAAGCAAGCACCACTGCACCCAGCAGGCTGATTCATCTTGAGTTAATTTTTGTGAACAGTATAAGGTCTGTGTTTAGATTCATTGTTTTACATGTGGATGTCTAGTTATTTCAGCAACATTTGCTGAAAAGACTATTTTTTCTCTATTAAGTTGCTTTTGCTCCTTTGTCAAGAATCAGTTAACTATATTTGTGTGCGTCTATTTCTGGACATTCTATACTGTTCCATTGATCTAACTGTCTATTGTTTCACAAATACTACAGTGTCTTTATTACTGTAGCTTTATAGTAAGTCTTAAAGTTGGGTAAGTCCTCTGAATTTGTTCTTCTTCAGTATTGCATTGGCATTTCTAAGCCTTTTACCTTTCCATACAAACTTTGGAATCAATTTGCCAATATCCACAAAATAACTTGTGATTTTGACTGGGATTGCATTGAATCAACAGATCAAATTGTGAAGAATTGAGCCTTCCTGTCTGTGAACGTGGAATACCTCTCCATTTATTCATATCTTCTTTTATTTCTCTCATCAGTGTTGTTGTTTTCCTCACATAGATATTGTATGTATACCTAAGTATTTATTTGTTTCTGTCTGTTTCCTTTTTTCTTTTTTGGTGCTAATGTAAGAGACACTGTGCTTTTAATTTCAAATTCCAATTACAGGAAAGCAGTTGTTTTTTCTATGATAATCTTGTATCCTACAATCTTGTTATAATCAGTCATTTGTTCCAGAGTTTGGATTTTTTGTTTTGGGAGGGTTTTGGGGCTTTTTGGACAATTCTTTGGGATTTTCTACATAGATAATCGTGTTATCTATGAATGAAGACAGTTTTATTTCTTCCTTCTCAATCCGTATATCCCTTTTCCCCCTTATTGTCTT